CCCACGAATGTAGAAATGTACAACCAAGCTTGTCAGGGAACATGGCCTATCTGATGCTAAGGACAAACCCGCCTTCAATGCCTCTGAGACTCGTCAAAATCCATTTGCTGAAGGGTAATTGGCCCTCTTGTGAGTTGAGTCTTCCAGCGCACACAGTTGTCCAAGTCGCTATTGGTGGCATTCAGTGGTGTGGAATCGAGACCCAAAGGGCAGCTTCTATAACCGGTGATGTCGCGTTCATACACGTTTGACTTTCTTGAAGGTGGTGGCGGTGGTGTCGATGATTGTCCAGGACGATTGAGCTCCACTTGATCAGTCAGCCCTTAGTCCATTTGACACTCATTCTCACCCACGTGAACCACCACGCCAACCTCTCTCGTGTCATGCCACGACATATTTGTCATTGCAGGTCTGATTTTCCGAGAAAAATGCCAGCCACGGACTGATTGCCACTAATCAAAGACAAGGCATCGAAATTGAGAGGGCTAGCATTATTAAAATACAATACGGGGAATAGCGAGGTTAAGGTAGTTTGCGAAACGAAAAGAGCGACTCCGTGTACACAAAATGCGCCAGAAATCATCATCATCGTTATCGTTATCGCCTCCGTCATCAACAGAGCGATTTCCCAGCTAGACGTCCTTGCGTTTTGCAGGACGACGAAGTGAAGAGGTGCGATAGGGAACAGGTGGAGGCAGGGACGACCTTCCACAGGCCAACCGTGACAAAGAAATCGTCGACAGCGTGTTGGTGGGTGTTCGTTGCATCGGGGTGTCCGACCCAGCACGCAACCTCGGTCGCATCGACGCGGACGGCCGTGGAGGCAGCACAAACACCTCGTCGACGGTGCCGTTCAAATCACCGAACGACTGGTTGCTGTAGAAGGTGGGGATACAGAACATCGAGTCTCCGGCTTCAGTGATTGGCCGCGTCTCAAGGCCACCTGGTGAGTGGGCCAGAGACGGCCGAAGCGATTGGGTGTTTAGTGAGTGCAACTCTAGCAGCGTTAGGTGAAAGCATTGATTTAATTCCGAGGTGCAAAATGTGCCGAAATGCAGGGGATTGGAAGTGGTTGGGGGAGGAGGGGTGGGAAGGAGGAATACGTTAAGAATTAACACGCATAAATTTACATTCATTACGAGACCCAGTTTTTTTCCCGAGCCTTCGCAAAACATTGGGAGATTTTTAACAACCTTACCACTTTTAGTTGGCCAATTAAGGCCATGTTGAATAAAATAGGGCCTTATCAACGCATTCAGCCAAACCACTAATGCGATTGGTTAAATAAAAAGTAAACAAAACGCGGCAAAGAGGCGAAAACGGCTAGGTCATTTTCTCGACACACGCTTTTCACTGCGCGCACCTTCCCACCAGCATTGTGAATCATGGGGTATCGTGTATCCAGAAGTAACAAATGTCGCTGCGTCACCACCACCACCACCACAAACTCGAAAATCTCGCACCACTTCCCCCACCAATGACTAACAGGCCTCACAGCCAGGATAAGCGATGCCCAATAGGGGGCGTTTCCACCCCAGAAAAACCGATGGGCATTTGGCATAAGCTTGATCATTTTTATGCTGCCTTGAGCTAGATTTAAAAAATAGTACCACAGGTAGTTGAAGAGGTGGGCAATTTTGAGAATTTAGCACCAATATATCCACCAATAAGAAGCAGTCTCAGCAGCCAGAATAAGCGATGACCAATAGGATGACAGTTATTGTGCACTAGAATGAAAACTACGATCTGTAGATTAGAGGCACCACGACCTGGTCTGAGTAATTCGCGGATGGGGCGTCACGTGACAGTTATCGCCAGCACATCCAAAAAGGCGACTAGTCACCACCGCCACCTTGACTGTGAAGGGCCCCGCGTAAATGCACACGGGCACGACACGCGGACACGAGGCTTCAGTTTAGTAATTAAGAGACCAACTTGTCATTCACACAATTTGGACGAAAACCTAAACACGTGTTTCTAAACAAGGCTCTTCCGATAGTCGCAAACTGTTCAACACTTGAGACAAAAGTTGTTTTACAATCATCCAGGCAATCCATAGAAGTTTGCAGATCGTCCATTTTCAATGGAGACGTCCGTTTTTTCGAAAAAAAGCGTCACAATTTATCTGACAATTATGACAGTTGCAAAGCGTTGGTGATATTCATGAGACGACATTTGTTTTACAACAAAAAAACTGGCAACCTTCACGTCCCAAAAGATAGTTAGATAGGATTAACTTCGTTTATTTTGGGCACCTAATCGCTATCCGCAAGATTATGGACTGAAATCGTGCTAATATAACATGATGGCCACCCCACCAAGCACTAGTCTATAATCAGACAATCAGATTTAAGTATGTCGTCGTCCATGTGACGAAAAGTTAATTCGATTTGAAATTGTTACAACAAACCAACAAACAAATAGTTAAAATAACGCGTAGAATTGCTATGAAGTGGTCAAACTCCTCTTCCAAATCACACCAGAAGTGTTCGACGAAAGTCAATGCTGTGGAACTACCCGACTTTTCCTCCAAATCACGGCCTCTTGATTTGCTGTGAGCATTTCGTCATATTCGGGTCAGGCTTATATTCTCGGTGATTGACGATGGAATCGTGATTGTATTCCATCTAATTAAGTCGTCTATTAGCTGGCGTCCATTCGTCTGAATGCATCGTTGAATTTTATTTAGCTTTGCATCCAATGACACAGGGATTGACGTTGCAGCATCTTGCTTGTCGACGTGGAAATACTTGACATCGGTAGTCTCGCGCAATTTAATGATCCATGCGCTATCAATGCGTGAATCGTGGTTCTACTAATTCTCAACTGGACCACCATAGTTTACTTCGGCAAGTAAATCTCAATGTAAGGGAAAGCCACGAATGGATTTATGGCGCCGAGCAAATCTGCTAATTTTTACTGACAGAGATAATTTCGAAGCAGACTTCTCGGCAGCGGGAATTGAACCAGCCAACCACGGTGTTTGGGGTTTTCTACCAGGAAGCTTTTGCACTTCTTCCAGTGGCATTCCATTACTCCAGAGATGGACTAGGTCCATAATCTCCCTGAGCTTCAGACTACGGTGCAACCATCCAATCAGGTGACAGCAACTGAAGACCTCATTCCCTTTTCTCGCTGATCGAACGACTGGGAACCGCGATTATACGATCTTAGGCAGAAGTTGGGATTCTGAAATAATCGGTGATTGGCGAAGATAACTGGGGAATTCCCCTCGCCCCCCCCCACAAAACTATCACCTATCGCGCTGACTACAGACAGATACCCTTGGGGGGGGGGCAATAAAAAGTTCCAGACAGTGCCAGCCTAACTGCGCAGACAACGTGAGTTAGTGGGAGATTAGATATTGACGAAGAAATAGTCGCGTTTTCAGCCAATCACCTGCGCTTGGTGTGGGAGCCCACTTGCGCGAAAACCGCGTTTCGTTTTGAGGCGCTAGCTTGCACCACAATAACACTTTTAGCCATCAATTGTGGAATTTCGTAAGTATACGTCGAGACTGGAAACCACTGAAACAACCCCATAGAACTGCAGCTGCTACAAGCATCCAAGGCTTACGACAACCCAAGACGGCTTCTCCTAGGTCACGGCGTCAAACAGTACTTTCAAGGACACGATCTGATTGGCCTTGCCCAACCCCTTGACGATGTGTCCATGCCTTCCGTGTTGATTCACTCCAATTAAAACGATGACGTATCCGAGTGAAAACAGATCGTGGGAACGACTGGCAAAGCATGTTTGTTCACGTTCGGCAACACATCTGACAATTGTGGGAGACGGCAATCAGGAAAGTGACTCAGATCAAACACTATCGGGTTGAAAAACGGGGCAGCGCGGTGTACAATTAATTTGACGGCACTAAAGTGGACAGTGGTGCTAAAAAAAACAGGAGCATTTTCGAAATCCGGTGCTTTTCGCATCCACTCGTGGTGGGTGGAATGCGTCAGCCGTAACTCCGCATCAACCAACCAGACAACTGGCCGAACGAGTGGCGTGTTATCGGAAAACAGTTGTGACGCAATCTCGCTCGATGGAAAAAGTAAAAAGAAACTCGACATTTTGACCCCGTATCGAACAATTTGGGTAAGATTTCGTTCAACACTTCTGGATTGCAAGAAGAAACGTCGCTGGACGATGATTTCGAGTTAAAATTTGGAGATTTTTACCATGGAGATATTGACAAACACGTTGGCCGTTGGGAAGAAGAGGTTAAAATGGATAAGCTCTGTAAAACCAGCTGTTTAGCTGGTGCATTATCCGTCAGTTTTTTAGCGAAACTGAAGTTAAGAATGTTGTTATTTTATTGATTTTGATGTAAAAAGAAATTTGACTTGATTTAAACAAAGATTCCAGCGTGATGCTTCGATTGAGGGTGCTTTTTTAATCATTTCCCAATTTTACCTCATCAGCTGTTTACAGAAAACATCTAAATTGATTGTTTGGACCGTTGGAAACAGTTCAAAGTACACAACACCGACGTGGTCCCACCAAACTGACGAAAAGCTGTCTACACTTCAAAAGTGACCATTTTCGATTGGTTGAGATGATCCACCATCACCACCAGTGACAATTCGTTAATCTGAAGCGAAAACTCAAAGTTGGCGCCATGCTGAATATCGATTTATAAACCAATCGATTTTTCTGAAGGGCTTTTCAATAGCTTTAAACAAAACAACCCAACCAATCATTTTAATGCCCTTCATGTTGAACTTTCTTGAGAAAAATTAGATTTTAATTGCTGAGTACGGACTAGTATAACAATTCTTCTGATTGGGTAATTTCTCTTGGCCACAAAACTAATCCCCTAGGTGGCGCAAAATGCCAAAACTCAGCCACGCCGCGGTGTGTGGCTTCTTTTGAAGAGGCGGAAAGTAGTTTCATGTGTAAATTTTGCTCCCACAAAAAGGTGCTACGTTGAAGGTCAGAAAAAAACCGTAGCACCGGACAGAGAGAGATTAACCTGGTCTTCGCACTTGTATATAAGGTTTCGTGGGAAATTTACACCACAACTACAACACTCTAAAATGGAGATAGGATAGAGAAACAGTTTTTGTGTAATTTACGTGTACTCGTCCAACCGACTAAGAGCTTGTTTTCGTGTTAATCATAGCCAAATCTGGCCGTGCATTAATGGGCAGGAAGCATGACAAATTGGGCATTCGTTCGCGCGATTTCAGCTTTGCTTGTCGTAGAAGGAGTAAGACTTTTTCGACGGTCATCAGTAGATAGATTTAGCCTGCTTTTAAGAGGGAAGAGCAATCAAGAATTCGCGATGAGTCACCCAGTGCGTAGCGTGGTTTTGCCCATTTGCAGATCAAGACACAGTCGTTCATCCCATTGCAAGTGAATTTGAGTTGCTAATTAGCGTGCGTCTCACCGAATTCCATTAAAAAAACCCAACCCTCAAACCTATTCGACGGAATGTGAGGCAGCGGTTTGCGGAAGCAAATCACTTGCCTCCTTTCTACGGCATTGCCAAGGCAGTAGTTTAGCCTAACTACGCGGCAAATTGAATTACTTGGCTCAAATTGACGGTAAACAAGACCTACAAGAAAAATTAAACCAGCTCCATGCCAAAACAGATGGTAAGGGGTGCAGATTCTTCATTCCCTTCTACACACGCAGTGGAACAGCAACGACAGCCAATAAAAAATGAGACCCAACGACCTAATGTCAAGGCAAATCCAAGGACGCCGTTCATTGGCTCGCTGGTGTTAACATTGATCAACTGCAGGCATTTCAAATCCCGCATATTGATTTTTATGTATTGCGGCAGATGATTGGTCGAGAGCGCACTTGACGAGTCAAAATCAATACCGCAAGAAAATCGATAATCCCAAGAACAATTACCAGTAACCATGCGGTCGAGCTCATCCATCTCCACGGAGAATGGGTCCTCCATGCCGACAGAACTTCCGCGTGGCCGAGAGATGGACGAGGACGTGGAATACGAGGGCCGATTGGGTGACTCAGGCACCGAGTAGATCCCATTGGTGTGCGCGCGATCTGGTTGAGTGTGGGGTGCCGACGCGATCGATATGTTGTCACTCTCAAGGTCCGCCTGCCAGGCCACGCCATCGGCGTTGGGAGATGTGGCGGTGGACATGGAAAATTTGCGCTGCGCGGCATGCGTCAGTTTGTTTAAATTAGTATAAACAGGTGGCGGGAGGGACTGATCTGGGTAGAGCATTTTGTTGAGGTCACCTCCTCGAGACAAAGCTAAATATTCGAGAGGAAAAAAACAACAGTTAGCTATTAACGAGATGCTGGGATGCCTCACACACAAACCAACTGACGCGAATATATTCCTGGTGAAAATAGCTAATGCCACGGGTTCCAACATCTTCCATGATTGCATTCCCACGATAAAATTTTACATAACGCATTTGCCAGTCATGACTCAGACCAGATACACTAAAGTAATGCGAAATTTTGTGCAATTAAGACAAAATGTAGGGAAAGACAATTGGCGAATACAATTAGAAGAGTTGACGAGGAGTTACACCATAGTCAGAAGTGACATAGATCCGCGTTAGCGCGATAACCGGTTGCGTAGTAGGATTGAAAATCACGCGGACACTTCAAGGGCAATCGCGTATAAAGTTATCTAATCATTACTTGGTAAATTGACATCTAACACAGTAGCGCTGAACAGCGCAGTAGGGGACATGCCGTGGAGCGTAGCTGCGTAGATTACTCAAACTCACATCGATGTTCACTTGAAATGGCGTTTGGAGGTCGCCACGCCTCGCCAGTCGAATATGTGGAAGGCCGGCGGTCTTCGGAGAGGAGGCCATCGTCTGAGACCTCGTCTTCCGCAGTGCCCGACGCCGTTTCGTCGCCAGCCTCGTCGTCAGTTTGGAGCCTGGTGTTGGCGCGTGGTGTCGCATCGTCCAGTTGCAGAGTGCACGTGGAAGTTCTCTGGTTAGGACTCGGGTCGCCGAGAGTGGACGATGCGGAGAGCTGGAGGCTAGCGGGTTCCGCGACTGGTGCGGTCGCAGTCAGGGGGCGTTGACGGGGGGATACTGCGGTGGCCCCGAGGTTGGCTGGACGACGAAGAACCACGTCGTCGGCACCGTACGAACTGACGATGCGTTGGTTAGCACCCACGACAGCAGGTCGGCCGACAGAGGCGGAACGGGGCACGACGTCAGTCTGTGGAAAGAGAGTTAGCAACGTCGACTTTTAAATCTCCCAAGCAAACGTCCAGATCCGAACCGAAACGGTAATCACGACAGGGCCGCCGCAATTGGTGGTTAGTCGGTGCTTTTATTGATGCAAACTTCTAGTTTCCACGAGACCGTTCTCATGACCAGCCCACGAAAAAAACAGCAATCAAACGATCACACTAACATCGACCTCAAGAATGGAAGTATTCTGTTGGCGCTGAATCTTACGAGCGTTTCAATACGAAAAGCAAAATCACAATTTACTTAAATGACAGCTGACAGCTCTGAAAGCCCATTTGTGTTACTGCACTTCTTTTGACGCTTCTTAAAACGAGTACCAACTAACGAAATGTGACGTATCTGTTAGAATCGAAAGGCGTAAATACTGGATTTGAATGGTCCACAAAACCGAGCATTCAGCGTGAGGTTTGAAATGGATCACATTTAATGGACCCCACGGTTCGCAGCGGCTAGAACGCGCATAACTGCCGTGTGGACTAGGGTAACATTACACGGAGACACACACGATGCTTCAATACATGGCCCGTGCGCACACAACGTCGCGCATAATTACACGACACAGACGTCCACGGGGGAGTGGAGAGGGGGTGGGCGGAGTTTGCGTGCTTCGACGTGTCTGCACGAACAATGGAGACGCTTAGAGAGAGACGGAGAAGGGAGGTGCGCTAATTGGCGCCGCTGTCGACTCAAGAATCCCCACCCCCCCCCGCGCAAAATAGTCGTGATTAAGGCCACCAACAGGCTGGTGAACTCATCTACTGCTACTCAGGGGTTGTAGTGTGTGCGCGTCTTGTGAGAATCACTGCATCAAGTACCCTTAATCACCGCGGTGACGACACGATTGGCTGTTAAACTGATTAAAGTGAATCTAGACCTGTGATGACTAAGAGTTGCCTAATTTTACGAGGTGGGAGGCATCAAATCGCGTTAGAAAACACGTTTTATGGTATGTGATGACGATGAAGGAGAATGAACCGGCTTCCAGAGAGCAATTTGCCGTTGAAGCAGCGCTGTGGATCAGCGGCTAATAAATGAACCTGCCTAGACAGGTTAAAAAGGGACAACAAGGCTTCGTGACAAGCCAGGCGAACCAGCACAGATTTCCTCCTGGTTTTGACACGAACAATGCAGGGAATTGCGCACTTACATTTCAGGCAGAATGAAGAAAAGCTTTACTGGTCTTTTAACACAAGTGGGCGAATCGGGGGGAGGAGGAGGAGGAGGAGGAGGGATACTTCGACTCCCATACTCAGTAATGGAAAACGCAGAACAGGCAGTCACGTGGCCGCGGTTGTGTCAATTTTAACCAAAAAGCCGTCAAACATTTGGCTAAACACACACGCACACACAGTGCCCTTCAAATGACATTTCGCATGGGATACCACCACCGCAACCACACAGGCCGACGGTGGAGACGATAAATGCTGCTGAGGGTCGCGGATAAACACATCCCCGCAAAGGTTAACTGCACTGTTCTGCCGTGATTAACACAGGTTGACGTCGCAGCGTTGTTCCCCAGAACTACTAAAGGCCAAAGCACATATGGTGTCAAATTAACCGCCAATTTGAGCATCAACCCGCGTGTGTGAGCGTTTGAAGCAGATCTCTCGTGCAGTTTCCAGTGAAGACGGACATAAAATGCCTCTGATAGGAGACAAATCGCGTTTGCCGGCTGGTCCACACACCACTGTCGGCATAAAATCCTTATCACGATGATCACTCGGGGCTTGGTAAAACGCATTTCGAAAGTAAAAGGAAACTTTTCCCGACATTCAGCCAATCGGTGCGTTGGTGGAACTAACGATTCCGAAAGGCCATACCTCGGTGACCTTGTTAAATTAACAAGAAAGGTGGCTGGGATTGGTTACTCGGGGTCACCTGTTGTTGGCTACTTCAAGGTTGGACGTTCTGATTGGTAGTATTCCACGAAGCGTCACGGGGGCACATAAAGGATAGTAATCTTACTTTCATGCCTCGTTGAAAATGAAGCCGCAGTTTTTCGTCGAAAATACAACAAAATTTAAGCGATTTTTCGCAGCCAATTCGAAAGAAGGTGCGACAGTTCCTTACGCTCAAAAGCACCACTTAACGCTTCAGGGGAACTACGAGAACACCGTTACAAATCCCACACGCAGATCGAAATGTAAATTTACCCACCCCCCCCCCCTATGTCAACATTTCAGCGATCGGACATGTTTGTGCATCCCGTAGTGCCGCCTAGATACCTCTGACCACCCAATTGGCACTGTTTGTTTTACCAAACACACTGCAGTGTTAGCAAACACACCATAACCTACTGAAGTACTGTGACTAAAGCCTCTACACACCTCGCGTCTACACTTTTGCCGTTTCCACTTCCGTTCCAAGGGTCCTGATTGGTTGAAGGTGAGGTCAAAGGTCACACATGTTGTCTTGATTCAAGAGAAGCCGGTCATTTGAGCGACCTGGCATCAGGTAAACTGGAGACCAGACTAGGCAACGTCGTAATGGAACGAAATCGGTTCGGAGACAAGAAACCCCAGTAAAATCAACCCTCGCCTAACATGTGATCGTGCCGAGTGTGGATCAAGGCACCAGAGACCACACAACGTGGTGAAGGAAATGTAAAATTACGTTGTGTGAGGTATCAGATGGTTCCCCAAGTGTCGTAATATGCGCGTGTTTAGCAGGAATAAGGACGAGTTAAACCAGGTCGAAAATGTGGAACATCGGCTGATGCTCAGCATGCGCTGGCTTCAGAAACTGCCTGAAAATGAGGCCGGTGCGCGCCTCGACAAGATTATAGCGCATGGGCTTCCAGCGTCGCGAACACGTATCCTAGATGCGACTTCAATGAGCAAACAAAGCCAAGGTCAAGCATAATTACTGACCAATCAGGTCCCAGAGACGGCGATTTTCTAAATTTGCCAGGTCGACACATATTCGGCAGCGTCAGAGTTTTGCGTGAGACGCTCAAGTTGGCGGGAAAAGGAGTTACAGGAAAGAGCCACGACTCCAGGTCGTTGGTTGGTCAAAACAGTACACACAACCAACCAACCAGCTATTTGCACGAGCAAACCTCCTTAGCCCAAATCCCCATACAGCAGCCCTTATTCGCTGGATTTAGGCGATGCTTGTACGGCATCAATTCAGACCGACGAACCACCTCCTGAACACTTCTGTGGGCGTCGAACGGACCTGGTGACACTAAGACATCATTTTGGATCTCACGATTAATGACTGTTTACGCAATTCCACGATCCCAAGCTCACAGAAAACTTCAGGTCCGTATCAACGAGAGACCGAATCAAGTGCAATCTGAGGATATGCACATCACTAGAGGCCTTTGAACCTTTCGTGGGGCTTTTCATACTTCGGATTTAACTGCCAAGCTCCACAAGGTAGCGGACTTGAGATGAGGATTTGTATTGGCTTATTGGCAAGTGATTCTATTGGCTGATGACAGCTGACACCTGGGTTGATCGTTTTGATGCTCTCGTTTGACCGATTTTTCGTTTGGTCAAATGAGTTTCTTTTATTTCAACCTCAGGCCAAATATCGAGGGACGTTAACATGTCAAACGCATTAAAATGATATTCAACTGTTACAATCTTAATTATGACTGCCAAGTTCAGTGCGTCGACAAGAATGAGGGATCTTTAGAACGGGATTTTTGAACCAATTATGCCACGCACTTCCTGTCAACCAATCAACACCGCAAACGTCACACCGGTCTGTGTTACATGTTATAACGCTTGGTCAATTCACTGCAGTTTTCATAAAAAATTCACGAATCTAAAACAGGCGATTGACGTGAAGAATCAAACGCTCACGCCCCCAACGGCAAAACATCCCACAGTGAGGCGTTTGCCTCCAAACCTTGGAATAGTCGGTGCATGGAGCATCAGGAGCAAGCAGAGCCCTAATCCACTGAATTTCAATTAGGAGATATTGCGCGGCAGCAACTGCGACGCCAGCAGGCGAAGCTTAAAAGTGCTTTACAAGTGGTTGCGTAGTCGCGGGCTTGGTGGCACAGGCGTGACACCGCGAAATTGCGCCTGCCACTTGAGGTCACCTTCTAGCACACCTTGCAAAGCAGTGACCTGTAGACACGTAACACGACAGTGGTGGCGGTTTGATGCACAAGTAGCTAAACGCGATTCTTCCAAAACTTGACGGTGCATCCAGTGTCGCCAGAACGTGTGATACCTTCGACCTACTCCAAGCGACATCCGTGAATGTGACACTGCACCACACATTAGACTCCCAACGTACTTTAACTCACAAATGGACGTCGAGTTTCAAGCTGACGAGAAAACATCACATCATTTCAATTTCCATGTGTGTTTTGATGAAGGTGCGCGACATTTCGTCTGCAATTGTTAACGCAAGATCGATTTAGCGTGGATGGCAAAATCCAACACTTTCCTACTTGAGGAAGGACAAGAAAGTAGTACAGGAGGTGCATTGGCCCCCGCACCAATTTTCCACCAATCACAACGAGTCGTTAACACCTGCTGTTTTGTGATTGATGAATTTCGCAACCAATAATACATCAAACAGACACTAAACTCGGCTACATCATGTAAATTTACAAAACGATGAGAAAAAGAGGAATTTGTATTTAAGTCGAGCACGAGAGTGGACTTTCTAAGCGCACCGAATCAAATCGGTAACTAATGCCACACACACGCGATGTCGCCCAATGTGACTACCCGCATATCATTTTTCGCGTCCTTTAAATTCGCCCTTTCTCGTGCCTCGTGTTATTCCTGTGTAGCGACTCGATACGGGAGTAAAAAAGCACAAGACACACCAATCAACCTTGACCCGAACGAGGATATGGTGTGAGGCAGCGACAAATTTGATCAGCTGGATAACACCGAACACGTGTAATTGGGCTTGGTGTCAATCTTGATGCTTTTGAGGTACCTAAGGTGTGCGGAGTTCAGTGTAGTTGGCGCTGGTATCTGTCTTCAAGAATTCAATTTGCTGAATGCAGAGAAACTAGACATCGTCATTGACCCGCCAGACACCATGAGAAGGCTTTTAAAACCGCAACGTCAAGAATCTTCGTGTGAAGTCACGGTGAGGGAGGGGGGTAATTGGTTTCACCTTTATCGGTTTATGACTGGTGTCTGACCAGGGAAGAGGAGGCACCCACGCAATCGAAGTCCCTTGACGCATCTACCACAATCGGAAAATGCATGAAATCTGGTAATCTGATGGATCGAAAGCCCACCTGAGTGCGGGGTTGCCTAAGAATCTGGGCCATTTGATGCTGGGGCGCAGGAATCCCGTTTAGTCCATTCAGTGCGAAAACGCTACTCCCGGCGCTGTGTACGGACATTTGGCTGGAGTGAGGGCTGCTGCTGCTTCCACTAGGTCCACTGACGTTGTTTTTGCCATCACTGCAACCAGACGAGGTCGAACAGAAGCTCTCAGAGGCCAGGCTCAGTGTGGCCTCTTCGCGTTTCTGACGCTGTTTGCTGGACATTATGGCGTCCACTGCTGACGCGAAAGCCTCCACCTCGTTGACGGCGGACGAACGCAGTGGACCGTTCGGGGAGATTGAGTGGCCGTCGACACGACCTCCGGTGTGCGCCAGAACCGATTCAGCGTCGTCTAGCAGCTGACTCGGATTCTGAGTGGCAGTTGATAATGCGGTGAAGAGTTCGCGTAAAGTGGTAATTTCGCCGAGCAAGCTAGTTTCAGTCTCCTGAAAGAAATTTAAACGGTCATTAGATTCATACAAGATTCCAATCATGTGAAAAATATCAGACGTAACATTTAAACGCCGTTTTATTGGTCCGAAATGCCGCTAAATTCGATTTGATTCCCTGGAGCTACTTATGCAATGTTACGTCAATTTACGAAAGCCTTCAGAAATAGCTTAGCATTGAAAATACGGTGAGGAACAGCCATCCAATTAAACTTCAATTAGACGAGTCCGCAACGGGGATCCCCGAAACATTCGCCAATCAAAATAATGGAAATTAAATTCAACCCCAACTGTGATTGGTTCATTCGGCAATACGGCATTGTCATTGGACGATTTAAAGACATGAACTACAGCACTCGGAGACCACAATATCAACGCCTAGTTAGAGACCACACAGATGTTGACGACAAAATTCAATCAAAATATCATGCTTGAAAGGAATTTGAGCAGATCAACGCGACTGTAAAGGAGTGTAATTCAAGATTTCCTAAAATGGTTTGGTTTTGTGTTTTCAATCTGGTTGAACTGGATTTGGATGAAACAGTTGAATCGAAATGGTGTTCACACAAGCATACCGCTTTAGCTGTTTAAAACGAACCAGGAGGCGTTGTGCTAAACGATACGATGATTGGGAGTTATTCCAGTAAGTGTCAAAGTAAAGGGTTCAGGCTGTTGTGTAAATCCACTGCCGCTGTTTACATCGCTCTACCGAAATCGGATTTATGCGTGAGTTCCGGCCCACGCGAAGGGCAAACTGGACTGCAAAACTAACGAAAGCGGTAGGTTCTGTTGCCACGTGTGAAGCCTTTGATGTACGAGGCGCGTATTCTCACGCAGGAGGCTGAACTTGTCCGTGGATAACTGACAGATGCTCCACCATGCAATCATGGGTTCCCATGCTTATACAACTTGAAATTCACAATCCCCTGTCGACACGTCACTTAAATCCTGGTACTTCATTTATGCGCTGCCTGAGATCCTGTTGCGTGTGGCTGAAATGTCGTAGTGGTGGTGGTGGCGGCGGCGGTGGTAGTAGTGGTAGTGGATAATTAATACTCCATTAATAGCATTTAATTGGGCGAGGTGGTTACTATTATGCTCCCTGCTAAATCCTTCCTTGTCTATTGTGGATTTCAGAATACCGTCAGCGAAGTAGAGAGCATAGGCTGGTACCGGTTGACCTTCAAAGGATTAGGTCACAGAAAATGGTCCCCTCTGGCACTTTCAAAATGCTCCATCTAGAAGCAAGTCGCTGCCTTACATTCCACAATGTCTTCGTTGTAGTGGTCCTGGCGCTGGTAGCACGGTTACGTTGCTGAAACATTTCGGTCATCGATTCCAAACACTCAGCATTCGTGGCAGCAATTCACGACGTAAATGCAAACTTGTCACTCCAAATGTCAGCCTAGAACTGGGACTAATTTCCATTAAACGAGTCAAAAGATCACATAAGACTTAAACAAATATTCCTTCAGTAAAACACATCTATTAACTACCTTAGTATTAAGGAAAACAGCTATAACCACTTGGAACGTGGAAATGAGTCCTCGAGAGTCGACTTTGCGAACGCTTGACCTCAGGAAGTGAGAAGGGAATTATGCATTTGTAAACTGCAAAATTGACCATTTGACGAAGCCAAGATTGCATAATCAACAAATGTGCATAAACGGCGACGATTTCGGGTCAAAGCATAAGCTCAACGAATAGTCCATTAAGTGCAACCTGGGGACAGCATTAAGCAGGAAACGAAATTGCCGCCAACGAGTAACAGGAAGGTGATATCCGAGAGATCACACAAGTGAGCATCGACTACAGCTGCAGCAGGCCTGATGATGCGCTGAAAAGGCCTTCCAACCAAGACTTGCCGGCCAATGAGTGATTAAATAAGTGTGTGCGTGCCTGTGCGTTCAAAAGTATCATCACTACAAAAAATTTCCCCACTAAATAGTGTAAACCTAAGGCTTTTTCAGCATAAAACATCGTTGAAAGGTTGGTGATCGAAAAAAAGTGGCAGAGTAGGAAATCAGCTACCTGATAAATGCCAATGTAAACACATACAAATCGTTCACAGCATCAAGATATTATTTTTTCCACTATCAATCGAATAACAGAAAGTGCACGACTACAGCTATAGCAGACCTGATAACACGCAGAAAAAGCCTTCCCATAAATGGGAAGAACTGGTCTAATTGTACACAATTAATACTTGCTTAACAAGTGAATTTAATTAACTACATTTCGAAGAAACGGAAAACTCTTACACGACCATCGTTTGTAAACAAGTGTCTGTGATTTGCGCATAACGATACTGGAACCACACTTGTTAAAAAGTAATACCACAAATTTAAACACCGTTTTGTGTCATACTAAGCACTTCTCCACCATAAAACAACGGTGAAGGGTTAGTGATCGAAAAAAACCAATGAAGTAAGGAAATCAGCCACTAGGTAAATGGTAATATAAACTTCCAAATCGCTCACAGCATCAAGACATTATTTTTGAAAAAAAAAAACAATAAAATCGCAGGAAGGTTGTGTGAAATTTAGTGGAAGAGGTATCGTACCACAATAAGAAGAGGTAACGATTTCAGCAATGTTTCGAGTTAATCGTTGGTGCTTAGTGAAACGCTTGAGTTAACATACCAGCACGGGTCGCAGGCAATTAAAGAAAAAGCAATAGCGTCCACGTTCTTCAAGCATCAGGCGTTTGATTGAAGCACGCTCTAAATCCTCCATTAGGCGAACCTTTTCCTCCAAGTTCTTAATGGCGGAGTCCGTGCGAACCTTGAGTGAGCTAGTGCCAATGCCACTGGGCACAGAGGGTGGTATTGATCGATTGGATGTAGGAGGCTCGCCAAGTCCCACGCCACGACCAATGGTACTGCCACCACTATTTTGACGACTGTGAAGTGAACTGCTGTTGCTGCTGCCCTGTTTGGAAAGTTTTCGCTTGAGACGGTTCGCCTCCGATAGCGCACGTTTTAAATCTCCCCGAGCACGCTTAGCTTCGCGATTGTGATCCTTTTCGATTTGAGAGAGCGTTTTTTTCCACTCATCCATATGGGTGCTTAGGGGGTTGACCATGCATGTAATCAACTGACTAGAGGTGCAGAAAAAAAATGGTGGTAATTACAAAATCAAAAGCATTCCACGTGTTTGTATGTCTGTGTGACTCACTTGCCCATCGTCTTTACTTTAGTTCCCAAACGTTTTTGACGCATGCACAACCGCGTGAAGTGTGCCCCAATTTCCTTGCTACCACCAGTTGTCTTTGAGGCCAAATCAGCAAGGCGTTGAATAGAATCGAGAAAAGCATTCGAAGCTTGGACAGTTGTTCTAGCTTATAAAAAATTATTTGACGGCATACCTCAATGCAGCAAACAATTTTCCACCTTTGCCAATAATGTCCTCCCATATGGGAGTGCCACTCTAACAAGTATTATTTAAAAAAATGATTCGTACTTTTACATCTGCTAAAAGTCCTGAATACAGAGAGTCTAGATCCTGAAAACCTTTAAGACTGACAATTTCCATAACTCTTTGTATTTATTCCAGCAATTTTAAATGAAACTCAACAACCTAACATGAAAAAGCCATCTTCGCGCACACCAACATGCAAAAGGGGCGGGTGAGCAAACAGTCAAGGTTGGTAACTTCGCCTTAATCAATTTAAATACTGTGTCTTTACCGCTTTAATATTTTTTCTACAAAACATGTATTTAATTTATTAGGAAAACATCATTAGATTTTTTTTAGTAAAGTGTAATAGCATCCGCTATTATTTTCAAATAATCGGGAACATTGTGAAGAGATGCTCATTCGGTATTTCCTTGGATTATTTAAAAATATGTGCTCTGATTTGAGGTTTATGTTTTGGGCAATACTTGCACTCTAACTTTTTAGTTAAAAGATTTAAGTCTGCCTCTTGCTGGATGGTCTGTCATGTCATTACAGAAAAAGAAGACGTTTCAACGAAGATGAGGTCTGCGGAACTTTAAGTCCTGATTTAAATTCGTTTTAACGTTCACAATGCTCAAGCATTTCTACCAATTTTATTAGAACGATTTGTACGTTTTTAAAACATTAGTGACTATTTGTGCACACAAGCTACCTGCAATGTTTGTGCTTAACATTGATTAAAGGTTCAGAATTATTTTTTGTAATACAAATTGGAATAACTTACTATTGATCTATAATTAATTGCATTATTTTACGTTGCAGTAGATTAACACCTAAATTTGAAGCAGACACGAGGATGGTATATGAATTTAGTTCAAATTCAAAACACCATAATTATTATTCACTTTATATTGGATCTTCTGTAGAACTTTCGTTCGGATGGTAATTTAGAGTAAACAGCATGAATGTGGCAGAAAAAATGTCCGCTTTCCACTCATAATCTGGTTTTAAGCACTGTCCATTTTTGTTCGACTTCATTTTTATTTATAGCAATACCACAGTGTCGGTCCTGAATTAAGCCAAATTGTTGATAATAAATGATAATTTACCTCATAATTTTTTATAGAATTGCATTCCCTATTTGAAGCTGATTAATATTTAAACAATACGACTGTCCCAAAAATTGTCTTTTCTGTCTCAAAAACATAGGTTCTCTTTACGTATGGAGGTGTTAAAACTGGATTAATTAAAATCCGAGTCAATCCTAGATAATATTTTGAATAACATGCAATGTGACAAAACACTTATCGCCATAGCATAGTAATGAAATTTTTCTTGACGTAGTCAGAAGTTTTTTCTCAGATTCGTCTAAAAGCATCCGGATTTCACTAAAGCTTTCATATATCAAGAGCATACCCTAATTTATAGCGCGGTCTGTAAATAACTAAATAAAAATGCACAGGGGAGACGTTTATGCGGTTATTTAAAGCACCTCTCATGTCAACACTGGTACAATCAATTTAGACTTTTTTTTGTTAAAATTATTATTTAAGAACCTCAATCTGTGATGTCTAGGGTAAAAGAGCATTTTTAACATTTACTAATCTATATTTGATAATGGAGGATTTTGTGTTAAAAATGCATTGCTACTTCCTACTTTATCATTGGCTCGTCTTTGTTATATTTTAAATGTCCACAAAGTCACTAGGATGTTGTGGTAATACTCCAGCTTCTGTGACAGTTAGAAGGTGCATGTAAATTGCGATTGTCCCTTTCTTTTAAATAATATTTTACCAAGGTAATGTTGGCGGCGGTATTACTAGGGTTTTCAAACCATCGAGTGTTTGATAAATTTCTCTGGTTTTATCGACAACACGTTGCACATTAATTCAGCAAGAAAATCATCAAGTTAACCTATTAATGTGACTGATTTTGGCATGTAGTTACGAAACTTTCTTCACTTCCTATTCAAACACAGCCTTTCCGTCACAGATGAAACTGAAGCGCAAATAATTGAATTACTTAGTATAATTGATTTACGGAATTTTTGAAATCCAAAAAAAATAAATATACACAAGCCTATATCATGGGAACGGATGCACGAGGAATGAAGGGACTGTATCTGGGTTATAAGAGGTTGTTTTTAACTAAGAAATAAACAAACGTGATTGGCAGAAAGCTTCTTCGTTGATGAGCAGTGAATAACCTCCTTGTTGGCGTACACAGGAACAGTTTGTAACAAGCCCGATGTCCATGCTGAAAATAAACCCGTACAAAAAATGTAAGACCAATCCGAACGTTCGACAACATTTCCATGTTATTCTAAATACTTGGCGTTATGGCAACAGTAAACAGTAAACGTGTGCAACAAGTATGTGGACAGCTATAGTACACCGCTGTGGGCAAATTATAGTCACGTTCCCCGTGAGCACTTCCCGTCCATTGGGCAAACAGTAAGTGGCGCTCGGAAAGAATTAGCATCCATTAAAACATCAAATAAATTAAGAGTAATATAATAATCTTAACAACTGTCATCCGAGGAATTTCTTCAAGTAGCCTGTTTAAAAATGATAGTGGTGCATAATCTGAGACTTCATAACTCCTCGCTGGCTGTCGTGGGAGTTGAAACTGGGGCATAATTTAAAACTTCCAGTGGGAAATCACACGATCGCCACTTATGGTACTCCGAGGAACAAGTTGAAAACAGTGGGGAAATTTGATACTAAACTCGATTTCCTTCTGTGTTCTACTTGAAATTTGTTGTTGTTTTTTTAACGGTTGAAGTTGGGTTTTTGCGGGCTCCAGCACGTGATCTTGAACCACGCTGGGGCCACTGAGTTAACCCTGGTCCGATCGCGCGTCCCTGTAACCCACGATGTATAATGATGCCTCAGATGTGTGGGTCTCAGACGTGCTAACATCGAGACCTAGGTGTGAGGACAATGTAAGATTGTAGTAGCTTGAATTTTAGCACTTTCTTACAACCCTCTAGTTAACAGACAATAGCAACACGACAAGAGGGAACACAGGAGGCGACGGAGAACACGACCGTTCATTAGTGCCACAACAGCCAAGTGACTGTGTGTGCGTGCATAACAGGCGTGTGCTAGCAGAAGCCAACGCCAAAATGGGCCATGGTACACGCATCACTCACGCGAGGCGGCTGTCTGTCCACTACGGAATGATCGTTCTCATTAATGGGAAGGAGTTGAGGATCCGCACTGCTGGTGACATGTTGAGAAGATTTTACTAATTAAGCGTTTGTTTTGTTCCTTTTATTAACGAACTCGTGACTACGCGCTGTTTTTGAACTATTTTTACGAAAGTCTGTGCGACTATGGAGGTTTCGCTTGAATTACAACAATCACGATCGATATCCTTAGATTTATTTTTTTTAAAAAAAAATTTTTTTAAGTTGCATATGAAAGGCAAGTAGGTACGGCGTGGTCCAGAACTCAGTAATAGGCCTTTCCGCTCGTCTCCTCACCCAACTCTTAAAAAAGTTGATAAATCACATGTCTGAGAGGTTCATTAATGCTTTTAGGAAGAGATAATTTAAATTTTCGAAAACTCTATCGATTACTTTGAGCTCCAAGTAATTTGGAGGGATTTTAATGAACTTCTCACAGGACGATGGCAATATATCGATCGTTTGACAACAGTAAGAGAGTTGGTAACTTTTACCGTATACCAATTTTTTTAAATAAGGCACAATATTAAAATATCGATACGCACAGACAATAAATTAAATTAGTCTTCGTTCCAACAGCCGATTTCATCACTTCGACGAAACAGTTGCATAACTTGATCATTACCAGGTAAGCCTTCAATAATTAGCCAAATTAACTAGCTTTTTTACAATCTCAAAAATAACGTTTGACTCTGGGATGGTTTTGGGGCCCCTAGATTTGCCATTGTTTGTCTTGTCACACTGTTGCCTGTAAAAATAAGCGTAGGCGGGTATGCGGCCGCAATTCACCTAAACGTTGCCATTGACAACGACTCGGAGTCATTGTCTAGGCACAATTCATCCAATCACACCCCCGCAATTTGAGCCTTTAAAACTGGGACAATGGGCAGACGTGTGGCCATATCTGGTCAAGGATAGGCAGAACAACCACCAGCAGCAGTCGAGGGTGATGTCTTCAACCTCAAGTGACGACGAAGATGGCGGTGGAAATGACCGCGGGAAAGAAGGTGAGGTAGAGGAGGCCGTGAATGCACAGGCGGTGCCTCAAGGAGAGGCGAACGGTCAGGTTGTCACCTCCCAACCCGTTGATCGGGAGCTGAGGGACTGGAGTGACGGTCTCTTTTCGTGCCACAAAGACGTCGGACATTGTGAGTTCTTGTGGACCACGCTACCAATCTTCTCCACTAGTTGATCTACCCAATTACTTGAAAAATGTGGCCAGACATTTCTTTCGTTGGTTGAGATTTCGAAGCGTCAAATGAGTTTGAATCACTATAATTTGGATTTGCTCTTAAAACTGCACCAAACGTTAGCTTGATGCAAATCTCTGACGCGGTGTAATCGATTTTTATTGATTTTTTGCGTCTGACTCGTGCGATGAAGTTCAGCTGTTTTACAACCAGTGGAAATTTTACGAGTCGCTATTATTAATTTCCATTTTTTTAAAATTAGGTCCTTGCTATTGCTTGTTGGGGTAAATTTAGGCAACTGAAACAAAATATCGCATTTGCCTGTCTCTGATTTGTCTGAATGAATTTGAAAGTACCGTGTAAAAACCCCGAAATGCACATTGATTTAATTTCGTTGACACTTAGCTTGTCTGGACGGTAAATTTTTTCCTTCACAGGCTTTCTGGTTGCTTTCTTCTCCCCCTGCATGGCATGCTACGAATTCCACAAACACAATGAGAATCCACTACTTGGGTGTACCTACTTCGGTCCGCTGATGGCCCTAGTGGCTCAATATCGTGCCCGAAATGGAATTACGGTAAGCCTACGCTATTAACCATTATCGATTCTGGATTGTTCTTGCCGTGTTCTTAACGAAACGCTCTTGAAAATTGTGGAGTTTATGAGACCTCCAACTCTAGTTCACTGACATATTTTCAGAAAACGTTTGCTTGAAGTGACCCCTTAACCATTAGTGGATTCGAACGGGTTCACTAGAGAGACTTGATAGTCAGCACATGGACCCATTCACCAGCTAACGTTGACAAAATATGGTTTTATTAAATGCGCTGCGTTTGGTGTTTTGAACGATTTCGGTGGATGTATTGATTTTTTTCCTTTTGCCAATTGATAGGTGGTAAATGCACGCAATTTCGATTTTCGCGGTGGGCCAAGGGGTCCACTTAAACAAAGCCTGCTGAAGCCAACTTTATGCCTGTAAACAGCAAGAAATCATTAATGATGCGTGGAACGGTGTAAAAATTCGTTTCAACCAGGATAATCCAAGGCCTTAAACATAGTTGGCAGCCAATGCAAAAATTACTGCAATCTGGTTTGGATGTGACGATTCAGGACATTATGAAAAAATGTCATTATTTAATCCATGTTCATTACTTGTACAAGTAGTGATTTTTCGACACTAGACAACCAAAGTTACCTTCTAATTGGCCCAACTGTTTAAATTCCCACAAATCAAATATTTTAAGCCAATTGTGGCTAGGTTATTTCCGGATTAGTTGACTTTAAGCGTATGTTAAGACCAACCACGTCAGTAGTAATGTGCCTCCCTCGCTTTCTCCTTCAATTTTAGGGAAGTCTTTGCACGGATTGTCTGATGTCGTATTTCTGCACTTCCTGCATGCTCTGTCGCCTTCATCGCGACTTCACCAGATCAAAGAAATAATTTGACGTTGACTAAGGGAAAATCATCCAGACAATTTATTTGAATGACCTCGTATAGATGAAGATGCGCTATTTTGGTCCCATCATATTTCAGAAGGCAGAATTCCCAAAAGATTCTAATATCTTAATTCAACTGACAAATTTTTACATCCTTGCATTATTTTGTTCAGTGCACACGATTTATCCTATTCATATCGACCGCTCCCATCTTATTGGTCAGCTTCGCTTCTATTGTTAAATCAGTCTTATCTGTGGTAAAGATTGCCCAAGGCGCATATCCTTGAAATTAATTATTCAAAAATACATTGTTCTCGAGGTATTATTTTGAAATTGCAAAATCAGATGGATTGTCGCATCGAAGATTACAATTGGGTGGTGTTTTGTTTAAGCATACCACAGTTAAAATCGCTAGTCTAATCACCATGGTAATAGCGAATGGCAGAAAGTGACTCTGCTATGGTGACAGACTGTAGAAAAAGCCTAAAAGACCGTTTTGTTATTTGTGACAATTAAAATTTCGACTAGTTTTATCGGTGAAACCTATAAAATGTCTACTTCAGACCTACAGACACACATACGGCTTTTGCAACCTTAAATTAAATGCTCATTTAGGTAAACAATGTCGGGCATTTTCAATCTGGCTGCAACACTAATAAGTTAGGTTGTGCAAGTAGTTGATTGGCTTTAAAATGTAACAGGAAAGCAAGTTAGCGCAGCAAACAATCAATGAATTAAGACAAGAATGAAAAATGCTGTTAGATTGAGCGTTAATCGTGATCTAAGGCCACGACTCCACTTCTTGAGCTCTGTAATTCTCCGTCTGACTCTACGTCCGGTGAGTTGGACTGCTGCGTTGACAGAAAGTCACTGTGAAGACGACAAAGCTGGCACTGCCAGCAGAACGTCGAGAGCAAGCAGTCCTTCCATATTGAACCCTGGAATGATGAGAAATGCACACATATCTGACAAAAGAGGATTATTCACGACGTGAAGGTACTGTTAGTTAAATCTACTCGCTTGAAACTACTCAGATTAGACCAACTCGTTCCACGCGTCAGGCAATAGAGTTTGTAGGATTCACTGGCCCAACTCGGCTCCTGATTGGCTGGAGGGAACTCACTGATTCACACGATAGTCACACACACCTTATTCCATCTAAATCTTACATTTCCCTAAATTTCAGAGTCCTTCAAATGCATAATTTTCACAAACACAGGTGCTGTGGCCTATCGGTGGAGGCCAATCAATAGAAGCTTGTCGAAACAGGCCCAGCTGAAATTTGATTGGCCACTGTACCCACAGCTGACATTCTATTGGCTTCTACACACGTCCAATATTTACAGTATAAAAGTACTCCCCCCTTCCAAAAAAATAGACCCACACGTACTCTATACTGGCACACCAGGCCTGGGTAATCGATTAGCTGTCGTGTCGTATTTCCACAACCTTCTTTTCAACATATCTTGTCCACTCAACACCGCGTGCAATCCATGTAGGAAATAATAAGTAGTTGATACGTACCCGAATATGGTGTTTTGTGCGGTATTGTGTAGTCAAGGGAAGGAGGCTCATACATAAGCACAAGGGTGTCCCACAGCCCTCCCCATGCAGTTTGTACTCATGACAGGTCATACACCACGGGAAGAAGGTTGTCAAAGCGCCTACAATCGAAGTATAACGAAATGTTAGCAATGCCACACTTGGTTGGTAGAATCACAACCATCGTCCAACTTTTACATGGTACTCCTTGGTGAAATAGTTTCGTTTCGTTAAGAATGAACATCACGTGGTTTGTGGACCTTGGTCGCCGCTGCTAAATCCGTGAACTAAATCTAGTTGCTTTTATTTGGTGTACTGTGAAAAAACTCGAACTTTTCTGTGTGGATTTTAAATTTCAAAACCAGGAAATGAATTGAATTCGAGAAGGACATTTTGTTGGCACAAGTTAAAGCCGATTCTATGCGTATAAATTGGCCAGGTTGAAATGAGATCCATTTATTCAGCAAAGTGCCACTGCAGATTCGATTTTAGCTGGTCATGTGCCAAAAATCGATAAATAACTACCGATACCAGTGCATCCCAAGGCACTTGCAATGTCAGTATGATCGTGTTTCACTGGAATTGTAACACTTGAGATTTCAAAATCGAACTGGTACCATAACTGAGCGCTGTTTGATAAACTGACTTTCACTCTATTTCAAACATGTTTAGGACTGTTAAATCAAATTATTACCAGTCTGCTGCGCGATAACACAAAACATTAATGGTGGGTACGTCTAATGTACTTCTTGAACAATATAAAGTGGTCTTTGCAAACCTGGAATGATTTCAAAATCTTTGGCTACATGAGATTGATCGGGCTTTTCTTATTGGACAGGAAGTATATCGAAAATAGGCCAGAACGATGAGTTTATGTAGCCCTGTTCTTGGACACCAATGGTTTATACAAAGCTTATATATCAGTTAGGTTTTTTTTTAAAATCTGGCGTGTTAATTTGTAAGGTTTGAAGAAAATTTGACTTCTCCATTACAAAACAGCGAACCGGACTGCGGGTAAGGTGACTAATGTATGCAAACGTTTGGCAGAGTAAAAGCGTCATCTGTGACATCGATTCTGCAAAGCCTAGGTTTCTTGACACCAGAACTCAAGTTTAAAAATGATTGCTTCGATCCGCGTGATGGAAGACTCCGACGTGGATCTTGTGTTGGCTGAATTTCGAACCTGATTGAAGTAAATCCAGTAGGGAATTTCCAACATCATGATCTGCAATGTGTCGGCTTTTAGAATAACCAGACAAAGGTCAAGGAGGTTTAAATTCCAATCAAGCACTTGGTACAGAAAGTACATCTAATTGTGGATTCATCTACACTGGAAGCGTATAGTTTTGCTAGCTGAGCAGGTTGTAAACGAAATACTTCCTTATTACATTAAACTTGGGGGCTTTGTGGTACTCCTTGTTTAAATGACAGGTTGCTATGCCAACAAACGAACAATTGTTGTTGAGCGCGAGAGTTCTCAGGTCCACCGCAACTCATTGCTATGGTAACTGACCTGAAAACAGCCATAGGACTAGCCATATGTGCCTACGACGTATGTTCCACCTACTGGAGTCGTCCATCTATTCTTAGAAAATTTGTTTTACAAGACTTGAATTTTTAATCGCTCACACGTAAATTTTCCTGTTAGATAATTAGTGACCTCATTGACTTGAACTCAGTTATTTTGATATAAGGAAGGGTTACCGGTGAGAATGTCAGTAATCCCCAAAACGTTTTATTTATTTTGCATAATTGTTTGAATATTTGGATAAAATTACGCTATTTTTCGACCACGCCAGTAGCACTGGCAATCGTCTCGTGCAGAAATTTTACCGGTGACGTTAACAGGCACATCGATCCCACGGTGATATCGATTTTGCGTAAGTGGAGCCAATCAGAGTCAATCTTTTTTTAAAACAAAACGACTATGCTAAAAAGGACTTTTATGTCATGACCCGGAAATTTATTTCAAAAATACTGGTGGCTAAAATGTAATGTAAATTTTTCTGTAACAATCTACAAACTGATGGCAATTAGAAAAAAAAACGCTCACTCATTAGACCTCCAGTTTGCAAACAAACCAACGAATTATTCACGGAAACTGGGCTTCATTGAACATTTTAAAAGCGGAAAAAAGATTTCCTCCAAATTTGCATTGGCTAACCCATTTAAAATCTGAGACTTGTGTTGTAAATCGATTTATCCACGCACATTCTAACTTATCGATCGTCCAATGTACTTGACTGTTCTGCCCACAACTGCGTCATCATTGGGCGACTTACGTTGGTGATTAAAACAACCAGTAGTCCTTTGCCGCTTCCTCGTGACCATATTTGATTTGTACGCCAACACAAACTTGGTTCACCTTGGTGTACCCGCGTGTCGTGTCCAGACCCCCAAAATCGATGTAGGTGGTGGACCCACATTAGTCTTACGGCAGTTCGCAAATTAGAGCATGCGATTAGTGCTATGTGCGTATAACGGTGTTTTGAAGTACATTTTGGAAAAAAAACATTTTGAAATTTGAACTGGTTGGGGTCACTGTAACCTGAGCTGCGGATGAGTCACCATCAGCAAAAATTCAAAGTACTTTTACGCAATTTGTGTAATCCGAATCACATCCTGATATCCTGTTTCACGAAAAGACTCCGTTTCGTAGCATGCATACCACCGATCGCGATAAAAGAGCATATTTTCTAAAAACTGTCACTTAAGTTTGCAAACGGGCATGTCCAAAGGGGTTGAGGGTGGTTTTTATCACGGTTTTGCTTCATTTGAGGCGACTAAAGGTGTTATTCCCCGAGTATTTTTAGGAAAAATCTTGATTAGTTTCCTGGAATTTTACTAGTTTTATCTCATCTGAGCTGTTGTTATTCAAAATTTGTAACACACTGATTGGTAGTGAGTGAACAGTATTGACTATCGATTAGCTGATTTCTGCTCACATCATATTCTATAAGGTCATACGTTTTTGTTTTTCTGCATAATCCGACCTCAAAACGGTTTGAATTTTAAATTGCCATTCAAATATTTTTCTACCTAGAACGAAAGATGTGTAACTCTTACGTTGACAGGTCAGAGGAACATGGAGGGAGAAAGAGGATACGCTATTTTAATTTAAAAACTATTGCATTGTCTGTTAAGCGTCACGTGGTCCAACGTTGTCATGACAATAGATGATGCCTATTCAATTGACTAAATCTACACGGTTTGCTTGGATGTCGGCATTGAGTTTGGTGAGGTGGTCACAGTTGATCTGCAACCACGCCAGACACACAGCAGCACATTCAACAGATCCATCTCGTTGATAGGTGAAGCGATAAACGGCTTTGAAGACATCATGCAGTTTGTTTCGTGCTGTCCAAACGTGTGAAATTGAAGCAAAACTGTGTTAAATGGTGAAACCCAGTCGAATTATCGGCACTTAATCTATCAGTAATCTCGTTAACGATGATCAGCGGATTTTTGTTCCTGAGATCGTTATCAATGCCGGAAGGTCTTCCACAGCGAAATTTAGGGGTTTAAAGCATCACAATCATCACATTTGACTCTTTTTTGCTTCTACACACCCTTCAAGCACCTACAATCAACCTTCAAATCGATTTTTAATAAAAGTATCAAGCATAAACTGAGCCCAACTCACAATGTGACTTGTTCAGGCAGCATTCACACAAGTCATGGCTCCAGTCACGTTCCTCGTGATGTGAGTTCTCTTCGTCGACGTCGGCGTCAGCGGACAGTGGTTCGCTCGAGACCACCTCCGTTGCCACCAGTCTTGGAGTCTCGACTGTCCCAACCTCCTCGTGTTCTTCTGAGTCCACAGCCGCCACTTTGTTGGCAAACGCTGTCAACCTTGGCAGATTGTACGATTGCTTGGGCATGGCGTTCATCAACCACACGCTAACACACCTACTCAGACCAGATCGCTCTGGGGGTTTTATAGGTGTGTGTGTGTGAGCTGGTCCACTGGAAGCTGATACTTACATGGAGTGCGTGTGTGTGTGAAGACCCAGATACAGGACAGAGCTTTATCGAGTTCCAGAGGCGCGTTTTTTAACACACAAGAGCACTTGACCATTTAGAGGGGTACATTGCAACTTCGGCGTGAGATCGAAGACAGGGAGGGTGGCGCCCGAATCACCGTCTTGTGAGTTGTGAAAGTCACCTCAACAGGTTTTCGTGGGTGTGTGCGTGAGTGCGTGGTCTTTTCCCTCTTATTTAAAAAAAAAGAATTTAATTCGTCAACCTCGAGTAGAAGTACGATCGCTTGTGGTTTGGCCGAGCTCCACTCAAGACCACAATAACAAACAGTGCTTTTGACTGCTCTCGTTTGACCTCGAGAGCCACCTTAACATGCACGTTTATTTTCCTGCGTCACTAACTAATTTCGAACATCGAATGGTCAGTGGGTGTTCTTGATAAGGCAAAAGTGCCGCGTCTGAGGTGTACTAACGATTAAGAATAACTAAGGTTCGGGTGGGAAGGGATTTCGGATGGATCTTGAATCCCTAACTCTCTGGAACTTTGCAAATTGTAACCACGACTCTTCTACGATTGGATAATGGTCATCATCAATCTCAAACAGGGACGATTTTGTCGCGATTGTTGGTTGATTGTGTGCAGTGGATTTCGCTTTGAAAATCTAGCGAAATCCATTCATGTCGAGTTTCAATAACGAGTATAAGACATACCGAATTGGGTCAAATTGACCGCTTATTAAGTGTATGCCTCAATTTTTACGATTTTGAAGCAAATGTATTACATAAGAAACAAATAGAGAACAGCGTACACAATCTTGGGCGTATTGTCCGTCGTTTTCTATCATCTTGTGCCATCTCTCTCAGGTAACGTACGAATGCCGTCGCGAGATAAACTTCCTTGTCCAGTGAATGGCCTTTTCTGATCAAGCTCTTCACTCAGTTTGTTCAATTGTCGGCTGTAGTCTTCCGCGGTCACCGGCTGACCACACGCCTAACCGACTTTGAAAAAAAATTCACCCCTCATGTGTCACCACATACACAGATGGCTTCTTCAAGTGGATGCACTGTGTAGTCCAGCGTCTAATCACGACTCTCCGTATTGCGTTTGGGATTCTCCTAAGCGATAAACTCCTTCCTACCCGTCACAATATCCACACGAAGTGCATTCACAATTTGCTGCTGCTGCTGTTGTCGGTGGGCAAGCAGTGAAAGGCATGTGTTCACACGTTGACCGAGGTTGTGTGTGATCAACACACGTGGGTTCCACCTTCCAAGTGTCTGAATTGTTGCCATTTGATGGTGCATGCGCTTGGAAATGGGTGTTTGAGTGAGTCCTAACTGAGCTGATGCAAGCTCTTGTTGCGTTTGCGTTGAGTCTTCATGCTGGTGAGCTTGCAATGTCGCATCTTCAAACTGTCGAGGCTGTTGTGGTGGGCGCGGCTTGTCACTACAATCGAAGCCGTAACTTCCAAGACGTTTGGACCAAGAGTTGCACGTTTCATAGGACACACAACGTCGGCACCAAGAACACTGCAAATTGATTCCCCTCCCCGTGCTTTGGAAGCACCACGAATGCCTTGTTCTAGATCGTGTCAAATGTAGTTTTGTCGAGTGTGCTGTTTATCAGTCGCCATCGCCGTAAACTCAGCTGTTCTGAGGAGTTGAATAACTCGCGTGGACATGTCAATCGCGGTTCTGTGAAACATTGGCTCCGATCCTTTCAAAACTGCAAAAAACCTAATGCCTAGTCCTTGTTCGACACTAAAGTGAATTTATTCAAAATGGTACATTAGCATCTAGCTGACTCGTGGCTTGAGGGGGATGGGTGATCGATAGGAGTCAGCGACTGTGAGTTGCTACTTTCGCTGGGTTTATGTTAATGCCACTGTAGTGGACACTTTAACGCCCTCTTAAGGACGCAGGATAAGCAAACAATTTGAAGGTTATTTAACACCATTTTGTCCACAAATTTGTGTACGAATTTTCACAAAAAACCTACCTAAAAACTCGTGTCCGTTTTCTTGTCGTTTTACATGATCTATTCTATGATTACAAAGGTGATTACATCCTATAAGAGGTGTTCTACTGCTTCTCTATCCGTTTACTCAGCAGTTTTGTTCTTCTTGAGTTTTAAAAATCTTCCAGATTTTGAAATGCAAGAGTGGAACCAATTCCCATCAGTTATTTATGGTGTGAATTTCTTAATTTTCCACCACAAAAGAACAAAACTCTTGTTTATGGAGGAAACGCATTGCGCCTGTCAAAGCGAATAACTGCGACACACATTTTCCTTGTAAAAGTGGCTCTTGCGTTAATTCGTTTCCGGATTCTCTTCTTCCCTTCGTTCCACCAGGTCTGGGTGAAAGGTTACATTTCTACTGAATGAATTTAAGTAGCATAATATTTGATGTCCGGGCCTCATCAGCAATATTTTTATCGTCAATCTCAATCGTATGCAGGAAAACCTAGCAGTCATATTTGATTGACCACTTCACGGTTCCATAATAAACCACTCAAATCGATTTTGTGTGTCATTTAAAGACTACAAAACAGATTTCCGAGTTTTTCTGGCAAATTAACTAGAATTTAAGGGTAAAAATAGCGTTCTTACCGCTTGAACCTTTTCATATGCGATTAACCTTGTCGCTTCACATGTCAGCGCTTTAAATGTCATCTAAATACTTACTTATTTCACACGTCAGCCGCCATTTGTGCGATTTAAGTCATGTGAGACGTTTTTGGATGGTTTTCGTTGGTTTTGCGGAATTGCCGCGTGATAGAAGCACGTTTTCTAAGTATTTAGGCAATTGACTCTCGGAAAGGTGCTTTTTTAGGTAACAAAGTAGAAAAAATCAATAATTTCATTTATCACTAAGCGACCAATCACGTCGTGACTGGGAGACCGTAGTGCCTGGACTTTAAATAACATAATCGACCAGTTTTTGCAGCATTGGGATTACCACACGTCGTTGGGCAAATATATCACCAGAAAGTAATCTAGTTTCACTCTTGAATCCAATTAATCACTTGTAATGTCTGTTGAGCATTTAATCGATAAACAGCACACTATAGACTGTAGTAGAGCAAGCGCGAAATCTGATTGGTCAATCGATTTTGTCCAGAAATTGGGCCTTTAAATGGGTGGATTGATGCCACAAGCGGCTTCTCAACGTAGAGACGGTGGAGGCTTTAGTGGGGTGTGTTTTCGCCGTCGGCATGGGCTGGCGCCAAAGAAGATTGTAGGTTTCATTCAAGCAATAACAACTCGTCAAGGTGGTTTAATAATGTCCACGCGGCAATTGGTGATTGCTAGGTGCAGAGTCAGCTGGTGAATTAATCGATTAACCGCACATTTTGAAGTCCGTCAAATCGAAAACACTGCTTTCGTTAGTTGAGGCGCCGATTTCGAACTGGATTTCTTGAAGCGCACGCCTGAAATTTGCCATAAAACAGCCCAGATTAGGTGATAAGTACACAATTTAATCTGAGTACCTCCCCGTAAATCTGGCAAGACAGCATCGCAACTCCTTGCGGTGACTTTGAATTTCTTCCACCCGCCAACGCCTCTTCAGGCGTACAAATCAAAAATTTAATTAGCTAATCGCGATTAAGGCCTCTTCACCGGCCGTGGGAAGGGGGGGGTTGAGGAGGGGGGAGGGGTTGGGGAGGGCTAGAAGTGCCAGATTACATCGCTAAGAGGCGGGTGCAGAAAACTACAGCCTACTTTGATGGCACTTAAGATGTCTCCGATGGGACTAGCGATGTTAAAAATTATAACCTACTAATGTGTGCGTGTGCGTGCGTGGGTAAATTTGTAAAAGTAGAGTGACTGCCCGTGGCCACTAGAATGCTCCTTTCTGTGTCTGGAGTGTTTGCGGAAGTGGGGTCCGGTTTCTGTGTGGAGAAAGGGCCCTAATTGCCGTCCAGTGACGTGGTTAATTCCTTTGTCCCTCCTCCCCCCTTCTCACCCCTGCCTGTAAGGGGAAATAAACGAGATTTCACCGGGGAGGGGGTGACATATCTTGCAAAAAGCGGAAACCAACCTAACCTTCCGGTCATTTAAGTGTGTGTGTGTGTGCACAAGGTCACGCGGATTTGGTGTGAGTGTCGACGGCACTACTGATCAATTTGAGTGGATTTACAAACTCGTGGCGCCGAGCCAGCAGTCGTGTGGACACGTCTAATGGTCCTTAGTGGAGGTAAATGGGGTTATCAAGATTACCGCCCCGTCTGAGCAAACATTGCAACACTTATTGACTCGTTACTCCCTCCAACTCACTCTCAGGCATGCATTATCGCCGCAGTCCCTCGAATGATTCGTGCGACCTTGATGGCAGAAGCATCGGCTACTTGACGGGACAGAAAAATCGGGTGTTTTTTCATGGAATTCCACTGCTTCACGGTCGATGCTCACCTTGGTGATGTGGCAAGCAACACGAGGATTTCTTAGATAAATAGTAATATATGGAAAAAAACACTAAACTTTCTGCTTCCATGCTCAAAGGAGCGGTAAGTGCCACACTGGCGCATTTTTCGACCGGCAATTACTTTCTCACAGGTGACAGTCATTTCTGGCGCCACTCGTCACTCCCTCCAACCCCTTTCTCGCTCGCTCCCTCTCTCTCCCTAATTGCACAGAATCCGGGAAAGAAAGTAATCAAGATTATGACCTTTGCACAGCCCCCTACCCCACCCCCCTCTCAGTTCCATTCGTTAGGGGGAAGCTCTTAATACACACACACACACACACAACAGGTGTGGGAGCGAGTCTGGGAGAAGGGAATTTGGGAACGCTGGCGACGAAAGAGGCATCATTTGCAGAGGATGTGAGAGTCTGATGCTATCAATGCCTTGTGCTACTCGCGAGCACTTAGGACATTGTTTGTTGGCCACTCTCCCTGCCCCGTGGGGCTTTATTAATTCAGCGAATTGTTCGCATCGCCCAAAACTTCGGGTGATTATGGCAAGGCCCTCCCACTTCAACAGTTGAAGGACCCTAATCGTGGAACCCTCCAACAGACTGAAGCCCAATCAGTTGCATTCAATGCGCTCGTGCTGGCGATCGATGCCCTCGCATGAGCCGCACTCACGAACGCTAATCAATTTCGACCCGTTGAATTCAGTTCAAATCTAAAGTATTGATTTTTGCCGTTGCACTCGCATCATGCCTGAACTTCGCTCAGAGGCAGATAAGATTTCTCGATTCCTGTAAATTTCAAGTGTAAAAAGAGCGGGTGTTTTCTCTCTGGTGCTCCTAGACAGGCCGATTTGTTTATTGGCCCTTTTTTACGACAGTTGGTTAGTTTAAACAAAATTGCTTTAGATAAATGCACGCGATAAGCGCCTGGTTTCACTAATGAGGTCGACCGAAATGTTACCTTTTTCTAAAACCTACCTCAACAAAATTGAGTGTCGATCAGACATGCTTAAATTAGAAGACGCGACTTGATTGAATTAACAAAAAGGCGGCCATCGAAAAATACAGCGGTTAAAACTGGTTCATATAGACCAGTAAAAGACCATCTACTAGAGATATCTAGGTGGGACCATTTAACTGATTCCAGACGTTTATAAAGTGTCTAAGTCTATTGGTCAGGCGGTCAACTTTGAAGTATGTGGTAGACTGGTCACGGAGGTGTGGGTAGGTGGATAAAGTGCATTGGCCAATCGATAAGCTGAGACGACATGTGTGGTAGGTTTCAGAAGTGGATTAACGGAGTCCACTGTGGAAGCATCAGACAGTTGTCATGTGCCTTGGGTTATACCACAAATTCTGCCACTAAGGCATAAACCTAGACTGCTCTCCTACCCGATTGTCTGTAATTTGATCAAGTTTTTTTATATCAGAAATGAATCAATAATATAGCTTAATTGATGCGTGAGTAACGTGACCTTGTCATGACATTTTAGCGTTTTAGGGGAATTGTTGGCTCTGTCCAAGGCTTCTTTATCTGCCTATGATGAACTTAAACAAAATCGATTTGACAGTGACTAAATTGTTTATTTAAAATTTAATGAAAAAGAACCTTGGCATGAATTTCAGTCCATACTGGGCATCCACTGAATGTATTAACAACGCAAACATTTCACGAATCCCTCACCAAATAACAATTAATTACCTTTTTAAATGACCTTCATGTTTCTGCGGCGCCAGAATCAAATCAACCAACCTGATTACCGGGTGGTGGCCCGATCTGGCAAGATCATACTTAGAGTCTGAACGGGTCGCAAACTGTGCCTAGAGTTGGTTATTTTTAGATAACATGGTTTCACACTAAACTCCAAAAAGTGTGAATACCAGAACATGAGATTCGAGCGCGTAATTACAAATTACGCCACAGCCAATCAAATTTGATCGCTTCCGATCCTCATTTTGGGCGCACGAACATCCGGTTAAACGCTGACCTTTTCAAACACAGTGATTGATGTTTCATCACACGTAATAGCACTGGCAACTATGCCACCAGCACTGGTGCCAAATTAAGTACATATAACTCCGACACCTCTATCATTTACTTGCAGCAAAGGACATTTTGGTGGAGTTGAAATCGCAACGTTTTGGCAGATGATAGATGGCACTGCAATAGTTCAAACCAGACTAATTTGCATAGATGGGTTGGCTTGATTTGCAGCTTTTTAAGGCTGTAAAGGCGTTTGCCAAAGCATCCCGATGCGTGCTGTAAATCATTTCCCGTGGAATGCAGTAACAATAAAATGCGGCCATATTACAGACGATAAAGTCTAATGCTGTTTAAATCAACGAAATATGATGGCGAAATGAGCGCGAAATACCTCGACTCTCGCGTAGCTAATTTCTTCATTAGAAGGTACGCAAAATGATCTGCGCCCTGGTTGCTTGCCGTCAGCGATTCCATTAGCAATGGTTGCGTGGCATTCTCAACACATTCGCGACCGACATTGTCTGAACAATTACGAGGCTGTCAGAAGACTGCTCCTTGATTTCACCTGAATATCTCTTTGCGAACGCCAGTCTTGAACATTAGGAATGAACTTCGCTGTACATACCTGGCGTGAGTCAAGTATTTTGTCGTCACTAGGGCGGCAATGACTTGCATCATCAAGAATTTGCTCTACCCAATCTAATTAGCTGTTGTCGCAGCACTGTTCGATGTGGAAGAGGCGAAGTGGGGACTTTCAAAGCTACTCGCGAATCCCTCTCCCTGGTCATGAACCGACCTTTCCAATGTTGGATCCTCCAACTCATGTTCAACGTATTCCGCATAAATCGACTCCGGACACAAGGGCACTTGACACAACTTTGATTGGTGCGTGGATAGACGGACAAATCCTCGTCATTTTCTACCCAACCACTTCCCCTAATTTTCTCTTTCACAACACCTACTAAATCGACGGTACCTGATGGAATAAATGAAGTTCCATAAATGTGACTTTATTTCCTGACTAAAATTGTAAAGGATGGTGTGCTTTTTAACCTCAAAAGATGATGAAGGATTCGACTCCGAGCAATTATATACTCATTTCTGGGAAGGTGCCTTCTCGCCGAATCCATCAGCAACGCTACAGCCAATGGTAAGTCTGTTGAAAACACCAGGAGTCCAAAAGATCACGTTTTTCGATTCCCGCCTGTGTTAGTTGACCTTCAACGTTGAAGCTAACACCAAAAATTATCCACGAGTGTGCGGTAACTCTCTAGTCTGTAGAGATGACGTACCAAGTTTGTTACGCATTCACGGAGCAACACAGATCAACAAGAAATGTGTCGCACAATTCCACAATACTCTGAGATCAACCAGTCTAGTTCAGTCCAGAGTCTGTAGCCAGAGGTGATGCAAAGCCGACTTCCGCAGTACACCGGTGCTTTGCGCCAGTTTTTTGACAATTTGCCAATGCCATTTCATGAAAGACTTCACAAGAGTTTACTTGCTGACTCTTCTGATGTGCATTAACAGAGTAACTCGGTGTTCGGTGAAATGAGTTGGCGGTCCGCAGTTGGAGAAGGCAACTTGTTACATCGCACCGTTGTTTCCTGCATTCCTGGTTGGTAACTTCAAGATTCCGGTAACTTAGACCATGGATTTCTAATGAACTGACCGAGTTTTTACATTTCAAACACTTAAAAATTAGGATTTAAATACCGCGCTGCTGGATTACTTAATGCCTATTGGCTGCACATCCGCCGCCACTTTGGATTAAAAAATCGATAGTAATTGTGGCCGTGTCGTAACAAGTCCATCAAACACGTAAAAACAGGTTTCTTGAATCCGCTATTTTTTTTCAGAAACTACATGTACACGTACAAAAATCAATGATGGGGACCCACTAGAGTCAAAACACAGGCAGGGCACTAAAATTCTATGTACACTGATTGGGTAAATCACGGTGACAGTGAGTGCTGTCGGGGTTGACATCTATACGGGCGAGATCGAGTCGAAGGCGTGTCACGTGGCCTGTCATCTCAACCGTCAGCAAGCTGCGCCATCCAATTTGGATCTTTGAAGTACTCTGGAACAGGCTGGTCCATCCTGGCGATAATCTTGTAAATGGGCTTCTTCCACGACTGTTCCGAGTCCTTCCCGGTTGAGAGAGCCACGAAGAACTCTCGCATTGTAGTCTCAACCACAACGCGGAAGTATTCTGGGATCTACAGTGCCCAAAAAATATAGAGAAAATCAGCCAATAAGAATGCGGGCTGAAGGTCAAGGCGGTTTTTTGAATCTCGAATCCACTGCTCACCTCAATTTGCTGATTTCGATTATAATGCAGTGCTAGTGTGCGATAGAGCTCCGAGTTGGCGGTTACGGTGATGTCATTGGGGCTACGAATGCCTTCGGAAATGGCTACACGTGCGTACTTCTCCATTTGGATGTAGTAGAACTCTCTACAACCAAGAAAATGGGCAAGTAAGAAAGTTTGACGACAGCTCGCAGCCGGAGCGACCCACTTGGCCAATCTCTAGTTGACACTACGAACCACGAGAGGGGGAGAGGGCGAGAAGTAGAGAAAGCCAAAGTGGTGTCATGGACATAATACTATTTTTTTCCAGTTAGTTTGCTGTCAAACACGTCGTGGTATTCAGGCCTTACCATGCTATCATTTGCAGTCTCAACCCAAGCAACGCTGTCATCTTAATGGTCGAGCATTTTACGGGGGCAAAATTGTCAAAGACCGCATCAAAACGTCAGCTATTGGAGAGCAAGACAATTGCATAGTCAAGATCTCGTGAGTTGTTAGTCCAGTCCAAAAAAGCTCTGGCGAAATCGACAACTGCGTGTTCGATACCGCACAGGTTGATAGCCAATTCGTCCCGTCACTTACGACTGCCCCGAGTCAAGCGCTTTTTCTTAAGCCACAATTAAAAAGAAGTGAGAAGGTGATTTGCGTGCATAACAATCCACCTTTCTGCGTGGGAGTAATTAAATTTCTCAGAGTATAAATCTGTAAACAGTTCTCCTCAGTGTTTGCCCGCTTCCCACCTTTTATCACATGCCAGCTCCCGTTCACACACACACACACACCCCAATGAGCCGACTAGGCATTGTCGTGGGTTTGAGCAGTACGTCCGCACTGCATTGGGTTGCGTGCGGGGTTTTCATTAAATTAAGTCGGTGACTCCTTTTCTTTTGCGAGCACACGAGATGCCGCAGACGGGGTGTCGAGACAGCCCCCCCCCACCACCGCCACGCCGCCGCCGTCGTCTCCTTGAGACTGTATCGGAGGAAACTTGGAGGAAAGGGGGGGATCGAAGGGGCACAGCCCATCACCGCCCAGTTCTAATCCCAGGATCATATTTGTGACCGTTTAACGTGTGGGGCCATGAGAATTCCAGCTCCAAATTTTCAAGATTTGGTTTACTTCCCCGTTCATGTCTGAACATTTCCTTATTGTCGTTTGGTACCCTTCTGATCAATATTCTGGCCCACGCCGATCGGGCTTTTCTTGGTTACCAGCTTAAAACTTGACCTTTTTAGTTGCAAAATCGACCGCGCATACTCAGGTGCTTGCGCTAACTTCCAGCAATGTAGTTTCTAAGTCAACTCGTTGCCTTAGCCTCAAAGAACACCCACCGAAAATTGCTGAACCACTTGACCAGTTGAGCGGTGTTGTTCTTGTTGAACTTGACGTCGGAAAAGAAGACCTTCAGCAACGAGGAGTTGGGGTAGCGCGTGAAGAAGAACATTAGCTTGGCTTTCCGCAGATGAATCGGCGTCAGAGTGCTTGTCGTCTACAGAGGTTAAGAGAGTACTTCTACATCGTCAAAAAAAAACCCCCACACCAAAATATCCAGCGCGCCGACGACACAAAAGGTGGTGAAAGCAGAAAGAAAAGAACAAAACTACCACGCATCGCTGACCGCCTGCTCTTACGCGCTTCACTGGTTTTCTTGTTTTGAGTACATCCAAGGCACTCCCTCACTGGTATTAAGAGAACCACCCCTGCACCACCTGCTATCTTTGTGATACTTCCATGACTACGGTGGGTGGGGTGGATTCGCTGCAGGCCCACATTTCTTCTTGGGCGTTAAATTGCTACTTCGGGCATGCCTACATCACCACAAGCTTCCTTTGAGGATGGCCTGTGGCTGTAACAATGGGGTTTTTTATGTGCGTGTGTGTATATGTGTGTGCTTCTAAGCCCACCCCACCCCTCTTCCCCTCGCTTTGTAGCGATTGGCACCTACCGTGTCCTCTTCTCTTTTGTTGAGGATAAAGAGGCAAAAGGAGTCCACCTAACGCCTGAAAAATTCGTGAAAAAAATTCACAGTTTTTGTTTACCCCCAGGAAAGGTGGTAGCCAAAAGGGCTTCACGCAAACCTCTACCAGATTCGCTGACGCGTCATTATCTGTAAAGAGCAGCATGCGCCCACTTGTCTTTATCACAAATTACACTTTACAGCACAGAAAAGGTGTTTAATTGTATCCGAAACCAATCAATGTCCACATTTCTCTGACTCGGAGATACGTTTATTCCTCATGGAACCACCAAAAATCGATGAAACACGACATTTGCAATCCCACTCGCTTACCGCCACGGTATTTCCAAGCGACCCCGAATGGAGCCCGGTGTTACCATCATCGGACGCGGAACTCGACGATAGAAAGGATCTAGCATCGCATCCGTAAGTGAGCGTCGATGCATTAGTCACCCGTTTGCCCCCAATCGACCGATTCCTCCTGATCGGAGTGGAATCGACGACAGGCGAGGCGGTTGGCAAGTCGTAGCAGAAGGCGGGCGGATGATGCGGATGCGGTGGCGGCGGAAGGTTTCCAAGCAAATCTATCGAAGGGAGGCGGCCAGGAGGCATCAGGAGGGGTCCTCTGGTGTCGAAGGTGGAACAGGGAGGATGGTGATAGCCATTCGACATAGACAAGCTCTTCAGGATGTCAGATACAAGGGCTGGATCAAAGTTTAGCGGCACGTGGGGTGGCGGCGGTTGTGGAGGCGGAATCCGCGGGAGGACTTCGCCTGTCTTCGAACGCGGAGTTTCCGGCATGACAAACGGACTGCCGCTCTCCATCGACGCCATAGGCAGCTGAGGAGGCATCTTAGGTGGCACCAGACGCGTGTCTGTGACCTTGGTTCGCTTCCGTCTTGGCCCACACGAGACCAATGGGTTCTCGTAAGACTGAAGACTCTCATGCGGTTGGTCGAATGACGGTGACAATGCACTCCCGCGATTCCGATTTACAACCAGTGCAAGCGCCTCTGTCTGGTGATTTGGTTGATCTGTTCCGGCAATGTGGTTCGGCGACATTTTCTGGAATTCTACGTATGGTTCCAACTATATGGGGAGAAAACAGTAGTTTGAACACGAGTCTAACTAATCACACAGTGGTTTTCGCTTGGTACTTACCCTAGAACCTTCCAGTCTAGGCGAAGTATTTAACTCTGGCAATTTGCTTGACCCGAACAGCATGGAGGGGGGATGTGGAATGAGTCTCTCCTGAGTCTGCAACACTCGGCACGCTGCCTTGTAGTAAGCAGAAAAGGACTGTCCGAAGACTTCATGAATGTGACCTCCCATGGCTCCCATAATCTCAGTTGGCAAAGGAACGTACGACGGGAAGCTGAGAGAACTGTTGTGTTGTGGCAAGGGCTCAGCCTTTTCTACGTCTGGGAGATCTGGCACGCGATGGCTTTCGTCTGGCTGGGATCGCTGCTCATCGCTTTCAGCTCTGAATGACGAGCACCGATCTATACTCGTCTCTATAGCTTCTCTGATTAGGCCTTCCAATTCTTGCCCTAGTCCACTCTCCACAAGCTTCGGTCGTTTGCTTAGAGCTCGTGTGAGAGCGTCGGTGGCGGTTCGACTCAACTCCGCGAGAAATTCCTCGTGCGGTCTCTTCTTACCCTCTGGCCCCTTCGAAGCCTCTGGAGTCGTCGTCGTCGTCGTCGAAACCGGTGACTTCTGTTTCTCCCATCTGACGACTTCTGGTCCGTTGGAGGAATCACTCCGCAGAAGGTCCTCCATTGAATAGGACCTGCTCGCGCCTTCAGCCACTTTGAGGGGCGATTCTTTGCGGGGAGGGGTTGTCGGCTTCGGCGCCTCCACCGGTGAATCGCTGGCCGACGGGGAACATGTGAAACGACGTTCCCCGCCTTCCTCCGAGGCTGGTTTTTCGATGACTGACGTGGGTGGGGCGTTGGTTCGTGCCGAGGTATGTTCGGCTTTAAGCCACTTCTGCAACTGACAATTGTAATGCTGCGCTACTGTTTGCGCCAAGTTCATTCGTAGAAATTCCACTCTTTAATCTAGAAAAAAATGACAATTTTAAGTGACTACAATACCTCCCATACATCTGACCTTTGACCCCAAAAAATTTGAGAATGTAAACCAGGCTACATTGCGGTGAGAACACGAAAGACATTACTCTCATCCACTGAGTAAGTGTGTCTTTTAGTAGGAACTTTGTTAACACGTCGGTTTCAACGATGGACGAGCACGTCGACATCATCTTGTCCTCAAGAATTCGCGCTTATTTCGGTCGGAAGCGTTGGCAATTTTGCCAGAGCTGGCAGGGCACAACACAAGAATCACCGAGTCTTGAGGCGTGTTCCTTGCAACCGGAAGCGCCCTCCAATTATTTTTACCAAATGTCTTCACTTTTGGGGAACGCGAACTCGGCAATTAGGGCGCATCAAGGCAGGAAGTGATTTCTCTGTCTCCACGCCCATGTTTGCGTATTTCCGATTTGACAGTGGAGTCGGCGCGAGGCCCTTGTTTAAACCTGCCCGTTCAACTGCAGCGACAGACGTTTCCCCCCGCCGCCAGCACCACCACCTCCTCCGCCTTCTTGTGTTTCTTAATTACCCAGATGGCATACTGATAGGCCCGTCTTGGAGCCAACTTGATGATAAGCACTGTCGGGTAGGGCAAGTTGACTGACTCCTTTCTTATCTACCTTTTAAAGCAACCAAACCGGCGCCAGAGCTAACCTCCACCGCACTGGGATGGTAAGAAATGTAGATAATGATGATGATTCACCTCCTCTAACCAATTTGTATCGTTTGCTAAAGTAGTACTTATGGGAGCGGCGATGAAGGTGTAGCAAGATACGGTCTGGCCTCCTCCTTTGTATTCACCATCCCCTCCCGACCCGGGAGACGTGTGGTTATTTAACGCAACACCCACCCCCGCCACCCCAACAGTATTCTCCCTGGTTTGGCAGCGAAAACGCCCCTACGGTGCGGATTGGTGGGTGGGGGGGAGGGGAAAGGACCTTATCGCCGAAATCGTTATTTAAAATGCCACATTCCTCGAGGGACAAGATTGGCTGGCGGGAGACGAAGTCAAGACTTACTGGGACGTGTAACGACTCGCTCCCCCCCTAGCCCCTAACCGTCCACCACCGCGGGAACACAAGAGGTCGATGGTGTGTTCCCATGGGAGGGGATCTGTGCACTTGTCAATGACTCCCTCTGTGGTTTCAACAAGGTGACAACAAAAAAGAAGCACTTTTGTCCTTCAAAAAAGACTATTGTTAACCTGGGTCGTCGAAAATCTGGTTAATTCACCAACCTGCAGAAGTTGCCTTTTCAACAACTTCTCAACATTTTGTGCAACGTGACTGTTGAGTAATTTTCACACGGTTTTGGAACATCCAGTTGAAGTTCTGCTGATTTTGAGATGTGAAATTAAAGTGAGAAACGTCGTCTCCTATCAGATTCAGTCAATCTGATGCGACATCCTCGGAAGGCATCCATATTATCGCCCAGTTGTCATCTTTTCCGACTCCCCAAGTTGAAAAAAAGAACAAGGGGGAATAAAAAAAGGAATAAAATTCGAATTTTCGAGATGATTATAATCTACTGGTAGCTAGGCCAGAGCGTCAGGAGTCCTGATGAGGACTCTAGTTGGGTAGAAACAGTTGACAGCGCAATTTTTTGAGGAAAGTAAGCCACCATCGTCACAGACCCTAAAATGTGCATAAATGGATCGTACTTTTGCCCTCCTCAGTAGGTGAAGCAACTTGTAACCTTGGAATATAATTGTGATCAGCACCCAATCTGACAGTAGTCAAGCTCAAAATCTGAAAGCGAAGGGATTGCTGGAGTCCACGACGTCGAAAATCCCGCGTGGATTTCAGAACGTGTCGGTGGAATCAGGGTCGCTCAAAAACGAACCCCACAATAAAAATGGCCTACTTTTTTTCCTAAAGTGAGGCATGCATCGTACCTGGTAGTAGGCACTAATGTGGTTCCTTCCTTAACTCGTGCCCATCGCACTGTCTTCTGTTGGGAAATTATGGACCGCTTAACTGCTCTCGGAGGATCGTGGGAACATCAATCAGAGCCTCCCACCACCAGCACCACCCCCCTGGTACACTCGAAATGCCCCAGCGACTTTGCCTACCATCCCCTCCCACTCCCTACTCTTACTCTACCACCTGATGAAGGGGGATGGGGTGGGACAGCGAGTGGACGCAGCAAATCTGGGACAGTTTTGGTGATTGATGCTGGTGTCTTGAGGCCGTCTTCCACATTCCTTCTGCTCCGCCTACTGCTACATGTCCCACTGTTATTTTAATTACCCTTGGGAACTAGACTCAATTTAAATTCTAGTAAACTATTTTTTTCTCGCCCGAAAGACAGTAACCCTAGCAACAGGTTGTGTCGTGTTTATATTAAATGGGGGGCTGTGGCGACTTATCAGATTATCGTGTGTGTCGGATGCGCCTCAGGTGTGAACCCACGTGGCCCAACCACCGCTGTGGTTTCCGGTTGGAGACCCCGCAAACATCGATGATACAACCCACCCCCCCCACGAACCCTGTTTACACGAGAATGAGCTGGGGTCAGCGTCGAGTTGTTTATTGAGATATGTTAGCGCAAGTGAACATCTGTTGTAGCCGTGTCATCGTTACCTTACCAACACGAGTCGACCTAGATACCGCAGGTTTCACAGCACGTGATGCGTTCACCGCCATGACAGTCTTGGTAGTTGAAATTTGAGAAGACACGTTTCGTTGGCTTCAGTACTTCGAAGTCTTGAAATGGCTTGGTCACGATTAGCGCGCGTTTGTATCTGAGTTAATTTAAACAAAAACTCATTCAAACCCCGGGGAATGTCAAACCGGCCGAATTAACTAATCTTCATAAAAAAGGACATCGTGTTGGTTACACTTTTTTCCTTAAAGAGCCAGCGAAATTTGTGAGTACAGATTGAGCGTTAGCGGAAATGAATGTCAGTGAGCAGTGTGACCGGAATCCTAGGCTACGTGCTCCACCTCGCGACAATTTAAGGCGGATAAAAGCGAGAGAGGGAGTGAGAGCCTCCACTTTCACCATTTACGGATAACACCCCCCCCACCACCACCACCACCACTCACTTCCCCTCCATATTTCTGCATCCGGTGATGGCATGGAGCACCCGTTGTTGAAGTGGGCACTAAATGTTTGCCTTTTGTCGCCGCCTGAGAAGCGAGTGTAGTAGCTCTCGCGGAAGTCAGAAGTGGCTGGAAATGTGTGTGTGCGTGGGGAAACGGTGACAGGCAACTTCCGTTTCTGCGTGGTCGCCACACTTACGTACTTGCACCTACCCCCTCTCCCCCATCATCTTCAAAATCATGGCCTGTGTTTTGATGTTTGCTGGGGATGTAGGTCTGTGGTTTTCTAGGTTGTCGAATCCTAACCGCCAGAGGATTTGGGTTGTGTTTGAACACATGCTAAATCGGGAACCCACTTGGCACGTCCGTAGAGTTGATCGTTTTCAAATTAAATACCCAAATACCCTTCGTCTCAGACTATCCAGCTTATAAACCTCTCTTTATGGGGGTGACATTTATGAATTCTGGACACTGAGTCCAAGTCGATCGATTGCGGCGGCGGCGACATCGGTGAGAACAATCGATACAGTCTCGGTTGGGGCTACCGGCGTTAAGTGAGAACTGCTAGTCCACCTTGCCATCGAACTTGATGGTAGACGGTTTCTAACCGATGATCTGAGGCTTCGTTCCGAATTGACGACCCTTTCACCAAATTACAGTCTTTTGCAAGCTTTAATTCCAACAGACCTTGGTCAACACACGTCAATCGAATACGGCATCGTTATTGGTCATTTCAGTTATTATCGTGCTGGGAGCGTTTGGAATGAGGAACGATGTTTCACGTTTCCACGCAGAAATCGTGAAATTCGACAGTGGAAAAATTCAATACACAATGTAAATACAAAACATGGGACTGCGTGACTTAGCAGAAGTCAAAACTTTACTTTAGTAATTAAATATATAACGCATTAAAAACGTTATTGAATACTTTTAAAACAGGACTACGAGGAATACTCACATTCAGGACGACGAGAGTGTAGAGTGGAGTGGTGGTGAGGACTTCAACTGTTGTTAAGGCTGATGCGACAACGGACGTCTGCCTGTGCTCACGTAACCCAGCGCGTATAGCTCGCCTCTTCCTTGTGCACAGTTAGCTTAAGCGTTTAAATTGTACCAGGGGTGAGCGTGCACGCACGTGCGCACGCACGCACGCAGGCAAGTGCACGCGCGCGCGCGTGAGCAGTGTTCGTGCGGGTTTGTGGCGAGTCGACGTGTGGGCAGTGGAGGGGGGGCCTTATAGTGAGACAGACAGGCGCTGGGGTTGAGCAACACAGGAGGGACCCGCGGTTGCGTTTATCGGCATGGCAAGTGGGCTGACTTGTGACCCATGGGCCGATATTTACGTCGGACAACAGTTTATGGACCAATCACAATCGAGGGGATCCTTTTCGCGTTTAGTTCACAGTTCCACTAAAAAAGGGTGGCCGAATAAGCAAAACTCATTATTCAGACTCTGAACTGTGCCGTTTTTTTATTTTATTTATAGAAAATCAAAACGGGAGCATAAATTCCTTCGGTAACTAAGGCAACAATTGAGGGAGTTAAATGAGTATCACGTGACAGTGTTCGAGTTTGGAAGATAATCGGGTGCCCATTTCCAAATACAGTACTGGTGTTTTTCGAAATTTTGACAGTTGCAGGGCGTTGGAGGCCCTCATGAAACAACACTTGTTTTACACCAGAAACTGGTAAACGGCACGTCCCAAAAGATTGTTAAACAGCATAATTTGCTGCAATGGGGATTAACTTCGTTTATTTTGGGCACCAGATCATTATTCGCAAGATTATGAACTGAAAGTGTGCTAAGATGGCGTGATGGCCACCCTAGTAAACCCTGATCGATAATCAGATAATCAGATTTAAGTAATTCGTCTAAGTAGCGAAAAATGAATCCGATTTGAATTTGGAACATCAAACCAACAAAGAAATAGTTAAAATAACGCGTAGAATTGCTATGAAGTGGTCAAACTCCTCTTCCAAATCACACCAGAAGTGTTCGTCGAAAGTCAATGCTGTGGAACTACGCGACTTTTCCTCCAAATCACGGCCTCTCGATTTGATGTGTGCATTTCGTCATATTCGGGTCAGGGTTATATTCTCGGTGATTGACGATGGAATCGTGATTGTATCCAGTCCAATTAAGTCGTCTATTAGCTGGCGTTCATTCGTCTGAATGCAACGGTGAATTTTATTCAGCCTTGCATCAAATGACACAGGGATTGACGTTGCAGCATCTTGCTTGTCGACGTGGAAGTACTTGACATCGGTACTCTAGCGCGATGCAATGATCCACGCGCCATCAATGAGTGAATCGTGGTTCCACTAATTCTCTACTGGACCACCATCGTTTACTTCGGCAGGTAAATCTCAATGTAAGGGACAAACACCTGCTCACTTCTTCTGACAGAGATCATTTCGAAGCCGACATCTCGGCAGCGGGAATTGAACCAGCCAACCACGGTGCTTGGGGTTTTCTACCAGAAAGCTTTTGCACTTCTTTCAGTGGCATTCCATTGCTCCAGACGTAGAGTAGGTCCAAAATCTTCTTGGGCTTCAAACTACGGTGAGGCCACACACATGGGTGATGATGATGAAGCAAACTGCCAACCATTCATACCGACACGGTTTGTTTGTGAGCATCACAGATCCATCCATCTTAACGTCTGAAGGATCTACTGATTTAATAAACAACAAATGACAGTCAAAATCGCACCACAGTGGTACTGCTAGATACCAACTAGAATGTGAGATGAAAGATTGTCCATAACGATGAAGGGATTTTGCTTTAGACATTAACAATTGTTGCATCCACAGACTATAATTTCTCTTGATGAACGCTGAAGGCACGGTATTCTATGAGAAGTCGGAGATCACTGCTGCCCAGGAATGAATGCGATCCACGTCTTCAACAAGCTGTCACTGAAAATGAGTTCTTTCCACCAATCAACACACGCGGATGGGTATCAACAGAAAATCGTCCACAATGGGGTTTCGAACTCACGACTTGATTATATGAGCCCAATTTTCGGTCCGATTGTAGGAACAAACTGGTCCGTAGCATGGCTTTCTTTACAGGTAAAATAAAGCGTTTTTTGGGGGTGGAAACCATGTCCTGTCTTGTTGCTTAATCGCACGGTTTTCCTTCACAATCATCCTCATTTCAAGCACCAATCACAACCAAGGGGATCCTTTTCGCGCTCAGCTCACAGCTCCATGAAAAAAAGCTCCACCGACTGAGCAAATCCCATCCTTCAGAATACTACCCACCACCACCATCACCCAAGAATTCACATTTATTGCAAACTTATTGGATGATGAGCAGTAACTTGTTTAATGTCAAAACATTAATTACACGACATAAGCATATTTCCCCGTGTCTAGATGCGGCGATGCAACGACATCTCTGAAACTCTGGCTGATTCACCTTGGCTCTTAAGGTTGAACCACGTATTGTTTTTTCTTGCACTGCTAACTTTCGATTCCGGACTCAATTTTGAAGCTACGTAGGTGACTAATTGTGTTAGATATCAAATATCGAGAGGCTGACAGATGTCATCTCCGTGGATAACGCCTCAATGGGCCTTGCGCCAAAGTTAGATCTAGACCTTTATTTGTCACTTGTGCATCCATGGCTCTTCGACAAACCCCCTGATCAAAAGGAAGAATTCACAATGACTACTTTATTGATTTTTGTTGGGAAAAAGATAAGAGCAGTGGAAGATCAAAAGGAAAGTTGGCTAGAAGAAAAGGAATATAGACCAGGTGGAAACTTGGACTTAGAAGCATTTGCGGTGGACGATGCCAGGTCCGGACTCGTCGTACTCCTGCTTGGAAATCCACATCTGCTGGAAGGTGGAGAGGGAGGCCAGAATGGAGCCACCAATCCAGACGGAGTACTTGCGCTCAGGTGGTGCGACGATCTTGATCTTCATGGTGCTCGGAGCCAGCGAGGTGATTTCTTTCTGCATGCGATCAGCGATACCAGGGTACATGGTGGTGCCACCGGAGAGGACGGTGTTGGCGTAGAGGTCCTTGCGGATGTCTACGTCGCACTTCATGATGGCGTTGAAGGTGGACTCGTGGATGCCGGCAGATTCCATACCCAAGAAGCTGGGTTGGAAGAGAGACTCTGGACAACGGAATCGCTCGTTGCCAATGGTGATGACCTGACCGTCGGGAAGTTCATAGGACTTCTCGAGGGAGGAGCTTGAGGCGGCAGTGGCCATCTCCTGCTCGAAGTCAAGAGCAACGTAGCAGAGTTTCTCCTTGATATCACGCACAATTTCACGTTCTGCAGTGGTGGTGAAGGAGTAGCCGCGCTCAGTGAGGATCTTCATGAGGTAGTCAGTGAGATCACGACCGGCCAGGTCGAGACGCAGAATGGCGTGAGGCAGAGCGTAGCCCTCGTAGATGGGGACGCTGTGGGTGACACCGTCACCAGAGTCGAGGACGATACCGGTGGTACGACCAGAGGCATACAGCGACAAGACTGCCTGGATGCCGACGTACATCGCCGGGGTGTTGAAGGTCTCGAACATGATCTGGGTCATCTTCTCGCGGTTGGCCT